TTGTTTTCATTGGTTCCCATACGCTGCATAGTTCTTCGCAACCGTACTTTACTGGAAAATTCAGCATTAGTTTATCCACTCACCTCATAGACAGCCTTACTGATAATATTAGTGGTTAGCCAGTACAAACCCTTACTCCCTCTTCGATTTTATTCACACTAGGCTTCACGCGTGCTTCACGCCCGCATGCTAAGGTTCATGGTATTAGTGAGGTACTAATAATTGCTATACCTTTTTAATCTTTAATTCGCAATTTCAATTTTGATTCCATCAATAGATGGACATCAGCTTGTTGACAATTTTAATGATAAGGAACAAATTCCAGATGGCAATCTATGTACACTGAAAAAAAATTCGATTTGATTTGGAACTTCGACTTGACAAAAACATATTTATTGGGTCATTTCTCAGAACTTCACAAAAAACCATCGCAAAAATAAATCTCATCACAATAATTGCCATAAACCGATGAATATTTGGCGAAATCGAATAATTCCCATACCCATTTCCAGGTAATTCAATGAATTTGCACCTATAAGCCCAAAGCATCGGCACAATGATTGAACATGTACCGAGCAAATCTGAATATTATGAGAAAAAAAATGCGAATTTGACGCGCTAAAATCGTTATTTTATGACTTATAACTACTGACCTATTCAATGGAATGCTTAATATAAGATGCCACTTCGGAGAAATCAATGAGATCTACAAATTAATATGTCATATGTCCTCAATAATCGAATTCAAAGCTTGTAAACAAGGCAATAACTGTCATTTTTGGCGTGCGTCATGACAGAAAAAATGCAACTATTTGCTGTAACTTGATAAGAATTTAATTGAATCATAATTATCATATACGATTTCGAAGAGCAATAAATTCTGATTTACTTGACCAATAGATATAAACAAACCCAAACTAAGCGAAATTCACAAAAAGCATGACAGAAATGAATTTCCTTACAACAATGCCCAAAATGTGATAAAAATTTTCCTCAATCCATCAATTCTGAAGTCAATTTCAAGGTATTTTAATATATTTTCCCCCACGTACAAAACATCTCAAAATTACACATAGGCCGAGCAAGTCTCATTATCATGAGGAATAATATACGAATTTTTTAAGCATGACATGCTAAAATTGCTATATTATCGGTCATAACATTGAATCCAGTGAATGGAATTGGGGAAATGCGGGGTCAATTCATAGATCGCAGTGAGACTTTCAATTTCATATATGATATATACAGTCGATCAAGTCTAAAACCTCACTAAATGAAAAAAAAATGGTAGCTTTTGGCGTGTGACATAAAGACGAAAACGGAAACGATCTGGTCTAAGTTCATGAAGGTTTAGATAAATCAGATTAATCAACCATTTTGATGAGTATCAAAGACTCTTTAAAATGGTATATAAATGGTTCCACCAGCTGAACTAATAACTATATGAAAATCGGAGTAAACAGATTTTTGATAAACCGAACTTAATTGAAATTCTCGCCGAAAGTTTGCTTACATTAATGAAAATTAATCTTATTCGATCAACACACCAGTCAATTTCAAGGTAATTTAAGATATTTCCACCATAAAATAAAGAATCTTTATAAAATGGAACAGCAATACAGCAAATTGCGTCATTAAACCGAAAAACATGAAAATTTGCAAAACGTGACATCTTAAAATGGCAATATTATCGCCCATAACATTGGATCCAGTTGATGGAATTGATGAAATGAGGGTTCAATTTGTAGATCCCTGCGAGACCGTCAAATCGATTCATGATAGATTCTCGTTGGTGAAGTATAAAGCCTCAGTAAGTGGTAAAAACTGTCATTTGTGAGCTGTGACATATGGTGAAAGAAGGAAAGAATCAGTTGTAACTTGATGAAAATTCAATTGAATCATATTAACTAGATACCATTTCGAAGAATATTAATAACTCTTCAGAATCATGTATCAATATCCATACCTAGTTTAGTTATACCCAAAAATCGAGCCAAAGTTGATTTTTCAAGTAGGACCTGAAAAATGCAGCTTTCGGCTAAAACCTTCAGAAGTTAGTTAATAAGTACTACCTCTGTACTTCCTATGTGAGGAAGACGGAATTAAGCATAAAAACCAAAGAAAGAAGCCTGGTAACGCTCACGGATCTTTTACTGATGGAATTTTAGAAGCCATAGCTTCAGAAATATATTTTAAATGTAAAAGATTTACTTTTTTTACAATTTTCCGTGAAAACGGTTTTTTTAATATAATTAACATCTTATCGTCTGTCAACGTCGGAAACAAACTTACGATCACAGGTTGTAGTTGTAGTTAAAATACGGCTTGGTCATTTCAAATCCCCAGAATGCGTGCACCTCTGGGAACAGTTGTTAACATACAAATAACCGTAAAAACTGTGGCGAGCGTCAGTTTTTTCGAGTGAGAGACGTGCCCAACTGGCAATCCCACTAATTGTGGAAGGTCGAAATAGAACGAATTGATTGATAAAATTTTCGCGATTATCCCGGACCAGCCGGAGGTCACGCCTAGCGCAAATAAATATTAGAAGGTTTCAGCGCCATAGGCTTGAGGAAACTTAGGAGAAGTTGGCGAAAAGTTCAGGGTAAGAAGATAATCAAGGTTAGAGTTTAGTATGCGGAAATCGTTTCGGTCCGTTCATCGCGCCGCGAAACGGGATAAGAAAAGTATCATCCGTTGTGGATTAATGGGAACTCCATTTTCAAAAATCTCCCCAGGATGTACAGCTTGGGGTGCTAGCACCCGTAAGGGAGGGGTCCGTGAGGTATTTTGGGTACATTTTAGGGGTGGAATGTTAGTAAGGGTATTTACGACCAACATCCCACTGAATTGTCGATTGTGTTTGTCGCGTATGGTGTTCTAGATCTTAGTTAATGTTCACGGATCCCCGGAGAACCAACCGGGTAAGACTAGCCACGATATTGGGGAGTTCTAAGGCAAACAGATTAAAATTTGGATTCTCCCACTCACATTGGAATAGAGCGGTATTAGTGCGCTGTGAAGCCAGCGCCTTTGCAGTTAATCCTCCGGGACTAACGTTCCGGTCAGGCAAGAGTTCTGCTATATTTTTGGCAGTTATCGTCAGGGCGCACGAGCGAAAGGATGAGTCTTTCTCCAAAGCAAAACGACCTCATGGAAGAATTCCACCGGACACAATCTATACGTGTTAAGGTGAAGGAAGTTGGGTAGAATTAATCCCAGCAATGCCGGTTACTGGATGTCGATGTTTTTCCTGGCTTGTCAGTGTAATTATTATTAATTATTCCATCCATGTGAGGTGTCGTGAGTATTTCTCAGCCGTGACTTACTTGAAAACCATCCTATTGGGCCTTCCCCGTCGAGGCTTAGGGGAATTTTCCTCGAAAATAAGTGTAAAAAATCTAGGGGAAGCCGCCGCAAGACCCCGAGAAAATGGTGGAATTGTTCGTGGGTGGTGTCGAGTTGCGTGCCTGTCACCGTGGCCTGGAGTATTTCCCCTACTCCACTCCGCTCAACGTTGAGCGAGAACTCCGGCCCAACGGTGCTGTGAAAATCCTGTTTTCGAAAAATGGGGGTATCCCGGCCACCAGATGTGGTGGAAATCCCCAAATACCAATCGGATGGACCATTCGAGTGTGATAAAATTGAATCCGACAAAAGATTCTTAGGCTCGCCGTGTACATTGGGCATAGTACCATCTCCTCTCGTTCTCTCTCCGAGTCATTCACACTCTCGCCGGTTTTTCTCCGTGAAATTTCCTCCACAGTTAATTATTTTGAGGGTCATTCATTATTGCGCTGCTAAGATGTTAGTATACTAGTATTATAATGTAATTGTCTTACTATCATTTCCGGGGGAAAAATCTCGAGCATCGCGATGTGTGGTCGGTGGTCCACAGAAGATTCATAGCGGAACTCTTGCCTGGCCGGAACATTAATCCCGGTGGATTAACCGCAAAGGCGCTAGCTTCACAGCGCACTAATACCGCTCTATTCCAATTTGAGTGGAAGAATCCAAATTTTAATCTATTTGCCTAAGAATTCCCCAATATCGTGGCTAGTCTCACCCGATTGGTTCATGCTCATTTACATGAAAACTCATCACTTCTCATCTACTGGCATTTCTAATAACGCACTTACCTACCAACCTGTCAAAATTGCTGAATTGACAGGTCAATTCGCTCTAAAAATAAGAAGTGGGAAAACCACGCCATAATTTCCTCCAATTCAAAGTCAATTCGTGTAACTACCACGAAGCGATTCGCTCCCCAAAATCCAAATTACAAGGCAGTCTGGAAGCAACAGTGGGAGCGTCAATTTGACTTGGTGGAAATTACTTACAGAATCGATCTGTCTCTTCGAACCTCACATATAATAATTCAGAAAGAGTCAATATTGTGCGTGGTAACCTACCGAATAATAGTAGATAGTTATTGGACGAAGGTATATAGGGATACCGCATCCTAAAATCGAAAGTAGTAGTGTTTCTTGCATATTAAAAAGACTGACTGACGGCTACGCGTTTGTCGACGTCCTCAACCATAAACTATCCAAACTCTGTTTTAACTATAAGCGAGTGGGTGAAGGTGATGTGATAAGAAGTACTCATAATAGAATCTTAGAAAACTCTTATTCTGGTGAAGAAAGACAATTATGCTACCGAAAGATCCACAACATAAAAAAATACGGATTAAATAACCAAATAACCATTAACTGTGAGTTAGAGATTTAAACACTTTCAACCTTTCCAAATTCAAAGTCATCGGCTACATAACATTTAAAAGAAACTTTGAAATGTACATTCTATTCATTGATAATTGATTCATTGAAGGCAGTGGGCATGACGGACCGAACTAATGCAGTGGCGAAAACACGTGCGCATCAAGTACGGTGGTCGAGTTGGTGTTGGTCAAGGACAAACGGAGCAGGGCCAGCTGCAGGTGCGCGTTGTGCAGCTGCAGGGGGAAAGGGGTGGCCAACTAAGCTACGTCTGTCATCAACCTCAGCGTCGCACCGACAGCCCGAGAGCCATGCTCTGTTGTGGCCGCAGAAAAGTAAGATACTATTTTTACTGAATTTTTTCGATTGTTTACTGCTGTTTCATCCAACTTGAAGAGAACCACACCTTTGGTGAATACTTTACGGTTCGAAATCTTGCAAGAAGCGACAATTTCGAACATGACCGGGCAAAATCACAGATTTCAAGACGATACTAACTTACGAAGTAGTTAAGTATTTATTTGAGAATTAAAAAATCTAACTGTTCATTATATTTTTCGTTGATACATGTTTCGAATACTTCAGACTAACATGCCAAGGTTCTGTAAATTTTCCTTAGGCGTTATTGGAGTGTTATGCATAGATATGAGTACAGTACATATAACGAAGACAATAAAATTATAATTTTTTTTTTCATTACACATGAAAATTAATTTTTAGATCTCGCATACGGAAATATTCCGCCATACATTCTCAATCCTTGGAGCTTCTTTAATCCCCTCGAATTATTAATTTGCCGAGATATTGAGTATTATTTATTGAAATAAGAAAATAAGTGGGCATTTTTTATCTGATGGGAGATTACCCTTACGTATAACCCCCTGAAGGAGGCTCTCAGCTGCTTGCCATTCTTTCACTATAACGCAAGTCTTATTCCGTTTAAAAAGTGCATGTAACCCAGAAGTTTCATTAATTTTATTATGTATACTACAGCTTTGTGCTAAGGTTCCTATGTCTTCACTTCTTTGATAACTATTATCGCGAAGTAGTGGTTGCGTTCTGGGCTCTCTGCAATGAGAGTTTTTTTTTTTATTGTGATGCAATGAGAGTTACCACCATATTTTTAGACGAGACTTCTTTTCCAAGATTGATTTCCCAAATCCCCTGAGTTTCGATGATATGGAAGCATCTGAAGCATTCATGTTCCACATTTTCGACTTCCAAGCAGAGTCAGGATTTGGGAGAATCATCATGTATGAAATCATGAAATCGCACCGAAAAGCACTCATATTCTGAAAAAATTTACGCCAGGTAATAATTAGTCTCACCATTGATGCAGTTTAACCAACTACTCACTAATCACCTCTTTGGAGTACGCTGCATCTTATGATTAATGTCTCAAATTTTATCTGCTGATATAATGATCACCATCGCATTTTTTACCTTAATAACAATTTGTTCTCCGTAATGCCTTGTTTTCAAATATCTCATAGCCGTCAACAGATTCTTTGACGAAGCCCCCAAGTGGCCCTCAAGTGACGTAAGATCCGGTGATCACGAAAACCAAGAAATGTAAAGACGCCAACCAACCAAACGATTCGGGAATCAGCATTCAAATCATCCCTCACAGTTTGAGTGAACTGAGATGAAGTGCTATCCTGCTGAAACCATATTGTTTGTCTTCTCTGCAAGTTCACGTTGACTGCCAGCGCTGGCGACTGCTTATTCAAGAATCCCAGTTAACTTTGTCAGGTGACATTATCATTAAAAAAAGTATGGAGCTATCATTTGCTCATCCATGATACCGCATCATACCTTCACTTCTGACTGATGCTGATGATTAATGCATTGCGTCCAGCGCAAATTATCTTTTGACCAATCATGAAAATTATATCCACACGACGAATCACTACTCTGAAGCGTTACCTAGTCATTGGAAAGAACGTACGGAAAAAATTCGGATCTTCAATCAGTCTTTGCAACTCCCAGTTACAAAAGTCTACATGATTCCGGCTGTTTTGTGCGAACAATGCTTGAGTCAACGATATATGATACAGATTCGCAGCGGCCAGATCGCTGAAATTCTTTGTACAGTGATCCGTGATATATCTAAATCTCCACCAGTTTCTTTCACATTGATGTGAGGATTCATTTTCGTGGCATTTTCCGAGTAAAGTCGAAGGAGTTTACATGAATGATGAGATATTTGAAAATAACTTATCAAAGAGAACAAATTTCATTGAAGTAAAAAATACGATTGCAATTTGAGCTTGTAAGTGTGATCCTGACAGCTAAAAAATGTATGCATCAAACGTCCTTTTCGGACCCTTACAACTTATGTCTCAGAACATTTCCTGCCAGTTGTGCCCTTAGAAGATATTTAGGTGCATCGTTTCTAATGGAACATCCTATATAATGCGTTTTCGCATACCGTACAAGGAACGCTCATCATTCGCAGAACCCTCAATAGGTAGACTGATGCAACTCTCCGCTATGATACCCGATATTTTATACATCCGTCCGAATAGGGGTGGAGGGGGAGGGG